TGGGGGGATGGGTTAGCCTGGTGATGGGTATTAAAGAGGGCACATTCTGCGTGGAGCACTGGGTGTTATGCACAAACAATGAATCATGGAAGACTACATCAAAAACTAATGATGTAATGTATGGTGATTAACATAACAATAAAAAAATTTAAAAAAAAGAATTTCTTCATGTCCTTTAACTAAACAACATTTACAACAGACTGAGAGCAGACTCAGAGAGGAGAATCCAGCCACCTTCTTTTAGAACAAGAGATTTGCAAGAATATAAAACAGTGCCACTCTTCACACTAAATGGAATTTCTTTTAAAATATGGTTATATTTCATAAAAGCATGTGACATATACTCACATGTACTGGGTCTAGTGTTATCTTTAATGAACTGAGAAAAGCTTCCAATGTCCCACTCCTAATTTCTAATATGGTAAATCATAGTACATATAACCCACATCAGCATGAGCTCGTTCGGCTCTCAGTAATGTGATATGTGTAAAGGCATCCTGAGAGCAAACGGTCGGACACCAGCTACTCTAGGACTTATGCCTCAGTCTCCAGGACAGGGTGAGTGATCCTGAGCCCCCTTGGTCCTGGTCACCTTGCACCCGTAAGGGTCTGTCCTTGCTGCAGGGCACACGGCTGCCTGATGGACTACGTGTTAGTGGTTTCACAGAAAATGAACACACGTTCTTTGTGTGTCCTTCCCTTGTGGCCAGCCACCCTCCTGGTCGGGGGCAGACATCACCGGCTTGTCTTGTTTTGTTAACGTCAAGGACGATGATATTTCTTTCCTGCTGCAGACTACATTTCTATTTACTTAAAGAAAAGAATTTTTAAAGTCTTGGAGTTCCAAAATCTCAAACAATGATTTATTCAAACATTGAATCCTTCTTGATTCGTGCCGGGGGTTTTAAATGAAGGACCTAACCAGGTATATACTTTTAAAATGGAGAAGATCGCAGTTCTTGCAAAAGAATGAAGAAATTCATTCCATTTCCAACACAGATCTATTCAAAGGTGGCCCAGACCACTAACAAGGAATACATCGAGCTTTCACCTCATCGCTGGCCTCAGTTTCCCCTTCTGTAAGTGAGGCCCTTCAAGGGCCCTTTCCACACACAAGCTCTGTGTCTTCAACTCAGTCTGTCAGCACTTGAACGGCTCAGTCAACAGCCACATGAGAATTGTGGGTGCCGGGGTTTGCACACCTGACACTGCGTGTTTCTCGTCCCCCCTCCACGCATGCCTTGCAACTTGTGTGATCTTGTCTGGCTGTCACAGGAAGACCAGAAAAAGGTTATATTTGCTGAAATGATTTTTTAAGTGTGCTTATTATATTTCCCATCCCTGCCAAGTTTAGGCAGGTGGTCCAAAGAGGATACCATTTAAAAGGTGTACATGATGTTTCTGTAATGTGAAGGGAGAAAACTTTCTAGAGGCTGGCATCTCTGGCTACAATGTCCACCTAACACTCTGTGGCAGGCGGGCACATCATCTGACAGGCTTGTCCAGGCTGGCCTGGTCGAGCAGCCATGGCGTCATTGAAGCGAAATAACCTAGGTACAGGAGGGCTTTGTGTGTGCAGAGGATGCTAAGGAAGTAAGAAGCCTGTGTGGAAATAATTCTTTCCTGAAAATATTTCTTTTTTGATTGCAAATTTGCATTCAAGGAGAATTTTTTGGAATAGAGGTGTAATTGGCATACGCCATTGTATTAGCTTCACATGTACAACATCATGATTTGATATTTGTACATAAGGAGAAATGATCAACCACAGTAAGTCTACTTAACATCTACCAACACACATAATTACAGAATTATTTTTCTTGTGATGAGAACTTTTAAGATTTACTCTCTTAGCAACTTTCAAATGTGTAATACGGTATGATGGACGATGGTGCCACACTGTCCATTTCTGTTGTTCAAAGCCATCTGGTTTGTGGCATTTTGCCATGGCACCCCTAGGAGATTACTATACTGCCCAAGTATGTTCTCTATACAGAACCTCAGGTGATCTTTAAAAGTGCAGACCTCATCATGTGCCTGGGTCCCCAGGGCTCTCAGGACAGAGTCTAGCCTGCTCCATCCCTGCCGAGTACCCAGCTTCCCGCACTACCCCCCCACACCCTCGCCTTCTGCAGTCCACTAACTGTTGTCTTTAAATGGGGGCTTAGCAAATTAATCAGGCAGAGCATCAATGCTGACAGTTTTTTAAAGATAAGTCAATTTAGAATTTCCCAGGTTAAAAAATAGCAACGACAACATAACAGACTTTGCTCACCATTCGATTTTGTTGTCTCAAACCCTCCCTCCTCTCTGATCTTAGAAGCCTGCCACAGCCCAGAGCGGAGGATTCATGAATCCTTGGCACCAGAAATTACCCTACGAGAAGGGCAGGACTCCCCTTCCATGACTTATCATTGAATCTGGATCCAAGATGAAAACCTGCAGGGAGTCACAACTTTGTCACTTGCTTTGTGTCCCCCAGACGGCAAGGGTGTAGGGGCAGAGGAAAACTGTTGTAGACAGAACAGCACTCCCAACAGGACGGGGACCGGCGTTAAGTGTAGAGCTCAGAGGAGGGCCAGTGGGCACTTGTTTTGGATGTCCCCTGAGATGGTTGTAAGCCAGCTTTGGGGCCAATGAAAGGAGTGGGAAGGAACGGGTTATTTAGAGCCTATTCAGCAAGGGACCGAGCACCCACTGAGCAAAGAAAGCTCTTTGGCCCGTTAAGAGTCCAGGATGGGGACTGCAAAAAACACCTGATTCCTTTTGTAGCACACTCTTTTCCTTGTCTCGATCCCCTGGAACCGGTCTAAAGCTGCTTTCACCAAACACTGAATTACCACCCCCGTCCACTCCTTGCTGCGTGACCCCACTCCACACCTCCTCAGACATGAGTCAACTTGGCTGGGCTCTGTGCTCACACAGCAGAGCAGAGGAAATGCACCTGTGTTTTCTGACGAGCCCAGTAAGGGGCAGGGGCAGGAGCAAGAGAAATAGGGGGACAGGGTTTCACGATTGTGGGGCGCCTGGGGGGCTCAGTCGTTGGGCGTCTGCCTTGGGCTCAGGTCATGGTCCCAGGGTCCTGGGATCGAGCCCCGCGTCGGGCTCCCTGCTCCGCGGGAAGCCTGCTTCTCCCTCTCCCGCTCCCCCTGCTTGTGTTCCCTCTCTCGCTGTCTCTTCCTCTCTGCCAAATAAATAAATAAAATCTTAAAAAAATAAAAAAGGCTATTGACAGGACTCGACAAGGTATGGGAGATAAAAGAGGGTGCTGTTTGATTAAGGGCATTCACAACCGGAAATGGCAAAAAGGGACCGAGAAAATTCTCCAAATGCCAAGCAACGGGTGCCAAACAAGGCACTCGTGGCAGAAGCAGGCCTCCACAAGAGCGCTGGGTCATACCTTGGCCCCCCCAACTTTGTTTACTCTTCCATCCCCTGCGTGCGGCCCAGAGCAAGTGGCAGATGCGTGTTGCCAACCATTCGCCGTGGCTAGAAATCCAGAAGGACGGGGATGTATGGGTACACGGGCCAAGCCCACCTCTTCCTTCGCAGGACAGGGGAGAGCAAATATTAGCTCCATTTCCAGGTAAAGAAAATGAAGCTTAACAAGGTCAGGTTAGAGCCATAAGGCCCAGGCCCCCCCACAGGTCAGCTCCGCCCGAACCTCTGGGGAAGGTGTCCAGGCCTCTGGAGTTCAGCAGCTCCCGAGAAGAGCCCGAGTCGAGCCGAGGTGAGGACCAGGGTCAGTGGTCAGCCCAGACTGCCAGCCGCTGGCGGACCAGCCAGCTCCCAACACTGAGCGGCCCGGTCCTGACCGACAGCTGGCCCTGGGCCAGCCACTTCAGGAGAACTGCACATAATAGTCTTGAGATCGCCCCACCCATCCTCGAAAAGCCGCGGAGTTGGCAGCAAGTCAAGTGCAGTCCCTCCGTCTGAGCTGTGCCCCAGGGGTGGGGGCGGGGGGCTAAGTCCTCCCCCCTCTCAGTTTGCTCAGATTGTCTGTCAAATCACAGCTGAGATTGTCTCAGTCTTACGTGAGGTGTGACCGGAAGTACGCTCAGAAAGTTTGGGTCAACGCAAATCTAAATAAAAATGGTACGAACTCTATAAACCAGTTTAAGATGAGTCCCCTTCCCCCGTCTCCAGCACGGCCCCAAACAGGTTGTCACCCTACACCCCTTCTGCGTATACATTCGGGAGCCCCGCCGCTGATGCCCCACTACAGCTGTGCAGACCCCAGGCTCCCCCCGACACTGGTGCTCCTTGTGGGGCACGGCCCGAGCGCTCTCCTCAGTCCCTCTGCCTGCCCGTCACCCCAGCAGGGGCACGGCCAACAGGAGCTGTGCCGTCAGTCATGGACCTTCACGCTCACGGGTCCCGGCCCAGGTTCCAGGCACCTACTCCAGCTCACCTGCAGCAGCAGAAGCAACACTGGAAGCAGGAGCAGTGAGGTGTGGCCCCTGGAGCCCATGTCCATGTGGGGACGCATGCAGGTGATCACAGGTCCCCCAGGCGGCCGGTGTCCCCCACAGCCAGGCCTCCAATCACCGATCACCTCCTTCCCAGCCCAGGTCTCCTGTTGCTCAGGGGACACTCCTGTCCTTGGCACTCTGGTCTCCTCTCTCCCGCCCTCTGTCCCAGCCGCACTTGTATTTATTAGAGTGGGCTAGGCTGAGCCTTCAGCTTTAACCTCACGGTGACAGCCGAGTTCCCAGGAAGGGAGTGGAGAGGAATGAAACACGCCCTGCCTCGTGTGCACAGACTCAGGCTGGAACCCAACCCCGGGGGAGTACCCCAGCCTGGGGAATGTGACACCAGCACCTGTTCTTCGTTTGTTTGTCTTTCGTTCCAAGTAAAAGTCCCCACAATCTCTGTCTGAAGCAGGATATTTTAATGACTCTTTCCTATAACCCCTATGATTTGAAAGGAGAGCAGTGGAAAAGGACTCCAAGAAAGAAGGACTTGAGTAAGGGGAGAAACCCAAATGCTTTCACTTTCCAAAGCACCAGCAGATCTTTATCCCAGCTATGTCTCAGGGCTCTGAGATTTCTACCCAAATCTCTGCTAAGTTAGCTGACTCTGCCCTTGTGACTTTGGGATTGGAGGATGGAGAGATGGAGAGAGACGCCCTACAGGTGGGGGCCTCTCTGTGCCAGACTGGGGGTCTTGGCACTAGAATACCAGGGGGAAAAAAGGCAAGCAAGGATTCTACGCAATCGATACTTAAGGTCACAATGACTGAGTTTAAAACAAAATCGGAGATCCATTAACCAGATCACCTGAACATCATAGTTTGTTACCACATCTTGTTTAAAATAACAAACAGTTCTTTAGCAGATGGAGAAGGTAGGAGAAGGGAACCTTCCTTCCTGTGCATTCACAGCTCCATGAGATGCTGCTCAACACTGTCATTTGAGGAATTTGTCTGAATCTGAATCAGTAGCTTATTATTGGAAAGAGGAACAAATGCAATTTTAAGGTCTCTATTTCACGTGCATAAATAGAAATGGAATAATAATTATCGAATTTACAACTTCATGCTTATTTTCCAAGTGGGTATTTTTATTCCATGGTAGTCCATGGAAAATTTGATTAAGTTAGAATCATTAATTCAGGATTCATAGATCAGATAAGCTAAACCATGTCGAATGTTTGTGGGAGAAAAAGAAGATGCAGGGTAGGCAGCCCTTCCATGGAGTAGTGCTGAGAGAGATAACATCGAGCAAGAAGGACAGTAAGCCGGCCTCCAGAGATCTGGAGAGGGGCTGGGGATGTGAGGAAACGGCTCTATTTTTACATGTCTTGCAGTTGAAAGAACTTGGTCTTTTCATATATTAGAAACAGCCAAATTTTCAACATCCTCAAACACTGAAAAGTAACAGAGCAAGATGTCGGCTTCCCCTAAGGCCGTCTTTCTCTCACTGGAGCTGAGCGGTGGTGGGCCTCACCTGCCGCAGGGCACGTCTCAGGTGAGTGTGACCCAGAAGGTGTCAAGGTTCCCTCTCCATCCTGAGCATCTGTGATTGCAGACTCTAGTGTTCGTGTGTCCTAGGACGTGCACTAATACTTTGCAGCCACAAGGGGGCAGCTCCCCGATGCACGTAACCTGAGAGACGCAACGTAGGTGCAAGTGGTGGAAAAGGAAGGAATGAGCGCTAATTACCCGGACTCAACAGCCTCACCTCCAGCTCTCAGGATTCTCTATGGCGACAAGCACATCATGGGTGCTGCTGAGGATTAATTTCGTCTCGAATCATCCATGATAGGCAAGGTTCCCGCCAACGCCAGGCACTCGCTGTGTCATTTTTTCGGGATCCTTAGTGAAGGCAGCTTGAACACATTGTTCCTCAATCTCTGCAGGGTTCACGGAAGACTTCTACTGGCCTAGGAATTGGTGAGTAGGACCTTAACTGAAAACGAGGTAGCATCACATTCACGACATTCTAAGAAGAGACCCCAACAATTAAGACCAGACACTTTAGGAACCCCAAACCATGGCAGAACTGGTCCCGTCACACCCACCACCCC